TAGATATCTAATTATTATTATTTTTTTGTCATTATTTGGTTAAAAAAAATGTTGCAGAAGCTTTTGCAGGGAGTGGCAGTTGGGCTAGTCTCTGCGGTAAGCAAGCTGTGGGTTTCACTCTGACCTCTGTGTGCACTGAGCTAGCAGTCGACATGTGCTGCTGCTGCTGCTGCTGCTCCTGGATGTGAGAGACTCAGCAGGGGAGGAAGAATTTCTCCCCTCCGTCCCCCCGGCTTCCCTCCTCCAGTCCTGCTCTCCGCTGGAGTCGGCGGTCCATCTCGTGGCTGCAGATTGCCTGTGACAGCCGCACTATTTCAAGTCGGCGGGTTGAGCTAAATTGGAGTGAGCAATACCACCTGTGCCTGCTGGAAGGCCGCTCTGGTTGGAGCTGTTGCTCGGGCAAGAGGAACCTTGAAGAGGGAGCGAGTGAGGGGGGGAGGCAGAACGCTGCTACCTGCATCAAAGCCTTGGTTTCACATGCAATCTGGCCAGCTGGTTCCCTGGTGAGGAGGGGGATCTCTCTCTCTTTCCGTCTCCGTTTCTGTTTCTGCAGGTGCACATCTTCTTCTCCTTATCCCCAGTTTTAACTTTTCTCCGTCGTCCTCCTTCTCCTCCTCCTCCTCTCCTCGTGGGCTTTCTGTCCGAGTCAGATGGAAACTGACAGAACTGCGAGCGAAAGCTTTGAATCAGATCTCTGAAAGCCGCCACACACCACCCCACATCGAGTCCGGGTCTGCTCAGTTTACGTCTGAACTCACTTCGAATGAAAAGTCCATTAGAAGTGACATCTTGTCCTTTTATTTAGCAAATAACGTACAGCTCAAGTTAAATCCACGCCTCTGTTCACGTTGGTGTGACCTGTGCTCCAGTTCTGACCAGCATTGTCACTCTGGACACATTTGGATGAGGTTCTAACAGTGACTTAGGCGTTCTGGTGAGTGTAAATAAATCCCATTAGTTCCTGGAGTTTCAACCTTTTTTATTTCTTATTTCCACCGAATGTTTCATGGCACCAACATTTCTACATATGTTTGAAATCAGACGTTTAGTAAACGTATTAAAAGTCAGTGCTGAACAGTCAGTGCTTCGTCACAGTAAAAAGTTGACAGAGATTAAATATCCGGAGGTTCTGACCGAATCTTTGTTGTGTGGGGAAATGGGGCGGACGACGTAAATAAAAGCTATGCAGAGTTGACTTTTTTCAAAATAATGTCAGGCGGTTTGTTGAACGCAAACTCTTCGAAATTAGCATCAGGTCTAAAACTGCAGATTTTTGGAAGGAAAACTTGTTTTGGTCCTGTTTCAGCATCCTGACGCGTCAGAAGTGAGCAGTCCGAATGTTCCCGACACGTTTCTTTGCTCCTTCAAGTCGTCCAGACAGGCTGATGGGAGCAAACAGGGAGGAGGGAAGGGCTGCTGTCTCCCTCCTCACCCCAGGCAGGATACAGTAGGCATCATTTAGTGAGGGTTTGGGGGGGAGCGAACAGTGCGGGGTTATCCACGAGGTCGCCACGCTCGCCGCACGACCGAGCTCATTTCCACCGACGGAGAGAGAGGCAGCCGCTGAAACGGCTCATTCACTTTCTGATCACACACGCACACCCCTCTCTCTCTCTCTGCTTCACACACATGCTGCAGCCTGGCTTCATTGTGCTGCTATTTTCCTCATCCTTCACTTTCCCCTCTGTGCTGAAACATTTCCTTCCCGGCTCTGACGGTTCACTTTGTGTCGTCGTCGCTCTCCACTCCTCCTCACACCTTTTGTTTTTCTATCTATCACTGCATCGGCGCGCTCCGATTAAACCAGATTGACTCGTGCAGACAAACTCCCCCCCCCCACACCCTCCCGACTCACTCTGAGTGTCTAAGTGTTTCACAGTCTTGCTAATCCCTCTCTCTAGCTAATCTGATAAGCACAGCTAATGATATTTCGCTGAATGCCTTCAGACGACTGTAGTCGTGAAGCAGCAGCTCGTTCTGCAAAGCTAGCAGCGTTGGAGATATTGGACCAGAGCAAAGAGCTGTGGAACCTCAACGACCAACAAGCAATGAAAACCAGAAACACGAAGTGAAGCTGTCCGATTGGATCAAAGCAGCTGGATTCTCTGGATGTAAAAACTGATTCATTGGTATTTTTATCATGAATCAAATCAAATTTATTTACATGGAACATTTAGGAACAACTGCAGAATACAAAAAAACAAGAACAGGAAGATCATTGCTGCCGGTTTCCCGTCCTGACATTGTGCTGCCACTTCTGGATGAAAACTGTCCGGTTCAACAGATGCTCTTTCAAATTTCTGTATTTCTTTGTTCGGTTGATTCCAAGGCAACAAATTGCTGCCTGTGGATCGATAGCGCCACATGCCGCGGCTCCCGTCTCGCCCCGGCCGGGCAGGAAGGGGCCGCAGCGGGCCGGCAGGGTCAATGACCGGGTCCCGCTCCGCTGACGGAGGTTCGTTAAAAGAGTGCGGTGTTAACGGTGTCAGGACCGATCCTCCGGGCCGGCCTCGCTCTCCTAACGAGCAGCCCGATCGATGGCTGTCTGGCGGATCAGGCTGACAGCGCGGAGGAAGCTTCGTCTTGGCTAGTGATCGCTTCCTGCTCTGCTCTGGGTTACATCCGCTTCCACACACATCACCGATCACTGTCCAGCTTGGACCAGAAAGTACACCCTGCTGTAGTCTAACAGTTCGTCAAAAGGGGAAAACAATCGCATCGAGAATACAAAAACTGGCAGCACCTTACAGTTTACCGTTGTTTACCAAATGACAATAAAAAAGGAGAAAGTTTGTGTGTGTGGAAAAAGTAAATTCACTCCATGGATGTTCCACCATTAAGTCATGTTGCTTCATTCATGTTGAGCCCTCTTCTCCGTGGAGACGTTGACGACTTTCCACCTCTTCCCCTTCCTCTTTGTGTACACACAGAGGTCATGGCTGATGTCTCTCCTACTTGGTGTTGTGCTAACAGGAACTTGTTTCAGCAGCAAACACCTATTTTCCTGCGACGTCCAATGAAAGCAGAAAGTGTACTGAGTTTGGGGTTTTTTCCCCCCCACACACCTTTTTTCCGTCTTTTTTTATTGTTGATAGAAACTTGACTGTGTCACTACTTTTTTTTTTTTTTTAGTTTTTGCTGCTGTGACAAATTCACCCCAATCGGTGCCGTCGAACTGCTGCTTTTCTTCCCTCGTTCCTCTTTTCGGTGGGGGCGGCGGCGGGGTGCAGATATTTTTAAATCCGCGGCTCTGTGGGGTTTCTCTCTCTGTGTTCCTGCTCCTGTCAACTCGCTGGCACTCGTGTTTGCAAACACACCTAAAAAACATATTTACAGGAAGCGCCTGACAGTAAGGGAGAAGCTGGGTGGCGTCTCCGCTGTCTTCAGGAGCCCCGTGTTTGTGCACTGTCTGTCCGTCTGTCCTCAAAGAGACGCTTGTCCCAGTCTCAAGGGTCATTGAGGACACAGAGGAGTGGAAGAAGAAGGAGAGACCCAATAGTGAGGCGCTTCAGGGTGCACTTGTTTTTAACACAGACACAGAGTTCAGTTTCTGCTCACTTGTTTTTTTTTATTGCACACTTGAGACAAACACAATACAGATTTTTCACGGCGAAGACGACGTAAAGAGACGTCATGCTCACCGTCTTGAGAAAATCAACATTTCGCAGATGATCCGTGCTTTAAAGGAGCCGAATTTGCTCCAGATTTAGAGATTTGTGCTCGGCGCTGGAGTGTGACTGCAGCTAATGCGTCGAATTAAACCCCGGAGTTCGCTTCCGAGGTCGTCCCTTTTGTTCGCTCGGCGCGCAGGCCCCCTGTCAGATCTGCAGAGACAGAGCAAACGAAACAAACAAAACAAAGCAACGAGAGAACACTATTTATCAGTGCGGCAGATTCCAAAAAGCCACTGAAACATGATTCCTATCTCGTCATTGTCGAGCGACAGAAACCTTGAACGGCGTTTTGTGTCGGATTAAACGCGAGGAACTGCGTGCGTGATGAGTTTCCAGTTACGTAAAGCGATAAGACGCACCTCGGATCTGCCGGAGCGAGATGCTTCCAGCGGAAGAGACGTGACAATGTGACATCACGCCGATGGGGGGGGGGTGAAATAAGCGGGAGCAGAGATACGTTTAAGAAGAGCAAAAATCTACAGCTTCCATCCCTGAGCTCGGCTGACAAAACTGTCTTTAGGTGGCGCGGATTATGGATTAATCTATAATAACTGGGGAAGGAGCAGAGAAAAGGAAGAGAAGGAGCCCCTCCGAGTCCACCGCCTCATCAGCTAATGTTCCTGCTAATATTCCCAAATTATATCATTTAGACCTGTATCAGCGCTGCAGAATTAATCATCATTTCCCTGACACCACCCACCTCTCCCGCTCAACCCCCCCAGTTCATTAGATCTACTGTTTCTCATTTCTACAAAGTCTTGAGTTCTCTTGGTCCAACTATCCTGCTTCTTCAAATAATCTGTTTATCCACTTTATTCTCATTCCTCTTCTTCTGAGCTGTCTTCACAGCAGCTGCAGGAAGTCTTCCCGAAGCGTGAGACGTCGTCTTCCTCATCGTTATCAATTGACTCCCCACGTCATAATCGCATGCTGTTTCACGTCCCCTTATTAAAAACCATCCAGTTTCTGTTCCTAACATGACAAATTGATGAACATGAAGGACTCTACGTGCTTAACGTGGATGCGTTGATCTGAAAAGAAAACGAGAAAGCCAAAGTTTACGACCTGGTGATGGTATATGCAATTTTGAGACGGTTGCGCCAACAGAAAAGACGCAAGAACATCAAATTTTCTTTGGCTTGTTAGATAAAATACCTTCTCTAAAACCTTTGTATATGTTAGACTTTGAAGTTAGATTTTGTTTTGTTTTTTGTTTTTTTAACTGCTGAAATAAGTATCAGAAATGAAATTAAACACAATGCTGTCACCCAGAATGAGATAATTCATTTATTTATGGGTGATTTGTCCCTATTTTTTGTTTTACAGTGCTGCTGCGAAACGATCAGCCTCCGCCGCGAGCAGCCGACCGGCCGCAGGAGCCGCACAGGTGAGACCAACCGAGGTGGCGACGCAGAACATGACATAATGAAGCGTGGCTGTGAAATTCCACCTGCGTGGCCCTACGGTTTACAGCCCTCCTCTCGGGTCTCTACCTGCTCAGATTTACTGGCTGTTCCTGCCTCCTGGATCCAGCCTCGGTTTGTTTACGATGAAGGCTGGCAGTAAAGCTGGATGACTGGCCTGCGTGGGCCACTTTGTATCTTTGAGCAGATCAAGAAAAGGGTTCAACTGGAATAGATGATGCCGGCCTCAGTGGCTTTTTTTAATATCCTGCTCCTGACAGTGCCCCCCGCCCTCCTCCCGGGTCCTACCCTGTCTGTGAGCTCTAGATGGGTGGATGGAGGTGAAGTGGTATCGGTGAGGAGGTGCACCCCTACCCCTCCACCCGTTCTCGCTCTGCCGCTTCAACAATAGCATTTGCATATTTTTATACTCCGTCTTTCCTCTTGCCTCTCTCTCAAAGAAAAACAGCCCGGAGCGTGAATACTCCAGCAGAAGCAGCAGGCATGTGCAGGGAGAAACGGAAGCTGGGGAGACTGCGTGTCCGCTTTGCTTGAGGTAGGACACAAACATACACACACGTTCAAGCTAATATGCACACTGGGCCCTTACCCCACAGGTTCTGCACTGAGGACGAGGAGGAACCAAAGTTTGGTGCTTGTGAGGGTCTCCTGAAAGAGGAACAAAGGAAAAGGTCATTGAGATTGTTGCCACATTTTGCATGTGCCTGGTCTAGACCACAATGCTAATATTCACGACCATTTGCGATACATTTCATGCTTCATCCCAAAACAACCTTATTAACAATAAAATGTAGCGATGTATTAGCAGTAGTCCTTTTTGTGTAGGGTTTTGTTTGTAGTTGAACCTAAAGAGTCTTGCTGCCTAATTCACCAAAATTATTTTACTTTTGAGTGCAAATAGTCAGTTTTTCCATTTATGCATATTGTTTTTGTTTCTGTGTTTATCAACAAAACGTCTCAAACCAATAATGAAATGTTTCCATTTAAGAAATACTGTTATGTTTCAATTTTTACCCACTGCAGGACTTTGGTTTTAGCATTTTAATTTTATACGCCACAGATGCTAATCTCATAATCGTATCATCAGCATACAAATTCTCTAACCATAGCATTAACATGCTAATTTTACAGCTATAAGATTTATCATGCTAACTTAGCTTGGTGTTAACATGCTAATTATCCAACCACTGTATTGGCTTTCTAAATTTCCAACCATTGGTTTAGCATGCTAGTTTACCTTGATGTTGGCATGCTAATTATTGAAAGAGTCATAGCATGGCGATTTTTTAACAATGCGATTAGAGGCCTAATCTCTCAGCTATAGCATCCGATGCGTTTTGTAAATAATATTTAGCATTTAGTCTGCATTTTGAGACATTTTTTCTGAACATTTGCTACTTATAATATGCGTCGTCCTAAACGGAGACACCGCTGACAAAGAAAGTGCTGCATTTTGAGTCGATCGTCACATAGAATGTGTAACAGAACGTGCCGTTAATTGTATTCCCCTGGAAAAACACACATTTAATCCCCAGTTTGTCTCAGGTGTGGCACAAGCTCCTGTTGCCGCAACTTCGATGAAAACCTCCGAGACGAGTGAGAACCAGCGAATGAAAGGAGCAACATTACGTAACTGCATCATTCAGAGATGCTGACAATGCAACCAGACATGTTAGTCATTGCTAACATGTCTGGTAGGAAGGGATGTGGAGTGGTGGTGGGGGGTGGGATTTGTTTGTGGACTAATCCAGAAAGGCTTCAGACAAACAGCCGTGCAAAGTGTGGAGGAAGGCATTTCAAAAGCAGCCATAACCGCAGAGAATGCTCCGCTAAGCTCACACCTCCGCCATGAAGGTTACACTCTGAGGATAACTAGATGCACAGCGGAGCTGCATGTAATTTCATTTTACATGACACCCCGCGTTATATAAAGTTCAGGCAGACAAAGGAGGCGTCCCTGCGGAGGACCTTGACTCGGCTCTTCGGGCTGCAGTTTGAGGCGTTGCGAAAGCAGCACGTGTCACCAGATGTAGCGATGAAGGGTTGCTTTTTTTCTCCCGAACCTACGGCGCCGAACGCGTCACAGCCGGCGCCACCTCTCCACGCGGCGCGAACGACGTGAGGAAGACGTACGCCGGGATGGAAAACCTGGGTCCAAAGGGATTCTCAGACATCTTCAGAGCACATGTTTGCCGAAAGTGCAGAGGGATATTTCACTTGACAGAGCACGCTGAGGCAATTCTCCAAGAACAAAGTTCTATTGTGCTCAACTCTGAGCTCCATTGTTTAATTCCCTCCTAACTGACGCTCGTCTGTAGAAACTCAAGATCCGTTTTGATAGAAAACAGGCTGAAAGATCTAGAAAAACTCTCGCTCCGCACTGCAGGGCCGCAATTAGCGGTCCGAGCTAACAACCTTGAAGGTGAAAGATAAATGCCCGTGATGCACCCTGTAAGAAGGCCGTCTTATTTCTGGAGATTAATTGCATGCACACTAACGTGTCGAAAATGTGATTCATTATCCACAGAGAGTCATATCTGGAGCTGTGTGTGATAAATGTAGTCAGTAATTGATTTTGTTTGCCAGATTGATTTTGCGTTCAGGGGAGGCAGGTGAGTAATCCCGCTAAGTAAGAATAAAGCCATTTGACGTCAAACAGATGCTAACAACAAATGAAAGAAAATTACTTTGTCCACTTGGATTTTCTGTAGATTGTTTTTCTCACAGGTAATGTCAACTTTCATGGTCAAAATCTCCGAATTGGCGCATTGCCTGTTGAAATGCCTGAAAGAAGACCCGGGTTGAGGCCGTGCAGTACCGTGCCTCACTGGTAGGAGGCAGTGCTGAGGCCCATGAACACAACGAGCAACAGGTGCTCTTCTTCTAGGCATTGAAAATACACAACAAAGTGAAACCTCTTTTGCTTTTTATGAATGAAATAGAAAAAACTATCAATTCTGTACCCAAATGCAAAATGTTGCCTACATTTATTTTCAAGTACGAAACTAAATAATTATGCAACAATGTCGATAGTTTTGAAAAATTTACTTATGACATTAATTTTCTATACTGTTGCCTAAAATCTAGCAGTGAGGTTATTTTGACCCACTCTAACCCTGTTAACCTGAAATGATCACTTATTTATAAGCATAACTGCAAAATTAAAAGATTTTTTTTTTTTGTTAAATGTGACCAGTTTTATTATTTTATTTTTTTTTTTTTTTATGAGCCCCAAGCAAATCGTACATAAATATTAACAATGTTATTTTGGCCTAACCTAGTTGTGTTTCAGTTGTTGCCACGTCGAAATGTGCCATTAATCATAGACATTGTCACTATTTTCCTAAACATGGAGTATTCCTAATGCTATTTTTGATTTCTTCCATAAATCTTGATCAAATATGTTGTCAATATCTGGCTGTGTCAACATTGTGATTATTTCTAGACGCCTTTATGGAAGGAATCGGCAGAAGATGCTGATTTAGCCTGACCGTTTAAAGTGGGAAAAAAAAGAGTCTACAGGCTGGAAAACATCAGGCGTTTGCTCATTTTTACTCATCCCGGGTGACCTTAAGCCCAAACAGAGACACGTTGCATTGTGGGAAAGCGAAACTTGCCGCCTGAACGCGGCTCCAGCTCCACGTTTGTCTGTGGAAATGAGAGAAGGATGCTGCGCGTAATCAGCTGTTTACAGCAGCCCCGGCCTAATGGCTCCAACATGGCTGACACGGGCTCAATTACATCACCTAAATGAATGCCCTCTGTTCCAGATCACCCAGCTGAATGTTTCCAGTTTACCCAGTCTGGGTGTGAGAGGACGATGAAGAAGAGGAGGAGGCGGAGGAGTTGGCGGGGGGCGTCCAGAGGAAGACGCATGCAAACCCCTTTCCAAACAAACGGCCCAGTGTGCGCGGCGCCGCCCGGCAAAATGCCTGAATGAATCAACGCGAGCGACCGCACAACAGGACGTGGCGGCCGTTTAACACCGGTGAGCCGACACATGCAGGCAGAGTCGGAAACTAAACCAATTAACCAGTTGATGTGGAACCTCGCACATGTTTACACTCCAGAAAGGTCCATTTTGATTTAAAGGCCTTTATTCAGTCAGGTTCTGATTGAAGTGCCCTGCAGCCATATTGCGGGGGTACATTTAGTGATGTGAGGGGATTTAGATCCAAAATCATACAAAAGTATTATAAATAATGGTGAATTATGAGTGTAAGAATGTGGACCTGATCTGTTGACTAAAACATAAACAGCAAATATGCCTGAATATGCATTAAAACACAGCGGACATCATGTCGGCGTTGCAATAGAAGCTAACATCTGCCGTCTTCCTCATCTCTACTTTTTAGGTGTTCAGCCAATCTGAGGCAAACAAATGCCGCTCCGTGATTCGCTGCTCCGCAAACCAGCCAATGGAAAGACAGCTAGCATATCGAGTCCAGGTATTTCAGCCGCCCCAAGTCACATTTACTATATGTTGTGCACAACAAAAAAATGTAGACGTGAAAAATAATGCTAACTCTCCGCAAACAACCCGAAGTGGAGTTCCATAGAAAACCCACCGATACTTAATTTAAATTTTAAACATGAGGGGAGCTGAAGTTGCGATTCACCTGCTCGTCCAAAATGTCGCTTTTGCAACTTCGTTTTTTTTTTTCCCCTCACGCTTAAACTCCAGCTTTTACTTTGAAAGGCCACGGCTCAGATTACAGGAACCATAAAGAGCTGCGGGTGACGTTTCCTCCATCATGAATCTCAAAGCCAGGCCAGAAAAACAAGGCAGGGCATTACAGCCCTATTATTGTATTTGCATTACCCATAACAGGCAGCGTATTGGTTACTGTATTTATCGCCTCATCAGCGCGTCGTTGCTGCGAGCAGCGGCTGATTTATCAGGCCAACGTCACATGGAATGAGTCGGCGAATGGAGAGGAGGAAGGTTTTCCTGCTGGTGGACTTTCCTGACGATTGGCTTCTCTCCTGGCCCGCAGCCAGATCAGGACTTCTATCTGCACAGCTCTACGTCCCGTGAGAAGTTTCCGTTTTTGTTTGGCAGAGTTTTTTGGAAGTGCAGCCGAGGCCCTCAACCTCGTCTCTCTTTTTTTTTTTTTTTTTTTCCAATCTTTCTGGGATTTGGAGTGATTTGCGCCGCACTCCCCAAGGGAAATAAATACTTTGATTAATGTAATCCTGGGGTGGCTCATGTCCCTCCCCTCCCCCACCTGTTCCTCAGGGACTGCTCAGCAAAACAAAAACAAGAAGAAGAAGAAACGAGCAGAGAGTGACAAACCGGACGAGTGCATATTGGATTTTGTTTTGTTTATTAATTAGCGTGCCTTTCATGCGCAGCATCAGTCTTGATTAGCATGTAGCGCTGCCCAAAAGGACACTGTAAAAGTGTGGCTCACGCTAATGTGACTCCTGGAAGTGGCAGCATCTTGCTGGGGATGAATGTTCAAAGTTCTTCCCAGTACTCCCAATAATTCCTTGAAAAGTTCAAATTCACTACACGGTTTCCTTGAAAAGTTCAAATTCACTACACGGTTTCCATTACGAGTGTTGAACCAGATGGCAAAAAATAGTGGCAGTATGTTCCTGTGGGATATGTGTAGCTTGAAAGAGGAGAGGGGGAAAATGACTCATAAAAAATAATTGAAATCAAAAGTTGAGTTTATTGCACTTTTCAGTATATTTGTGTCACTCCCTTCTAATTATTATATTATTTGTATCTCTTTGTTTGTTCAAAAATGTTTTCTACCATTTAAAAAGCCTCAATGTTATGCCTGACAAATATTTTCTAATATTTCATATAAAAAATAAAGAATATAATACATGAATATTATTTTGAGTGATTTTGTTCAACACGGTTCCTTTTGTCAACTATCGGGCCCCTGCCTCTTGATGGCCTTCTGTACGGCCCTGCTGGTGCCAGCGCAATAATTCAGATGAAATAGGAGAGTCCAGTCAAAGTCCTAACATCTCGAGCATCTCCTTCAGCTTCACAGAGCGGTGTGTGTGTGTGTGTGTGTGTGTGAGAGAGAGAGAGAGAGAGAGTGACTCCATGCAGCATATTAATAATAAAAAACCTGCCTGAATTAGGGAAAAAATCCCCCATTCATGTCCGACACCCACGGCCTGCTTGAAGCCCATTTAATTAACGCTATATATTACCATCTAAGTGCTGCGAAGTTCGGCTCTAAATCAGCGTTTGGGCCCGACACGCTCAACGTATGGCGGATTACAGCGAGCCGGACCGAGCGTGATGCGGCGGTGGGGGGGTTTGGGGGAGCTGCAAATCAATTGTGTAGCCCACAGGCAACTTTAAGTGTGCCATAATTAAAATGCGGCGGGAATTGCATCAATTTAATGCGAATATGCGGCGGGCGAGCCGCAGAAGTGTCTGAAATTTACGGCCGAAAATCAGCTTTTATGGAGAGGAGAGAGACAATAGATTAATGCTCGCTAATTGATTTCCCCCCTTAATTCGCTGGTGCTGACGCGCAACAAGCCGACATTAATTTTTTTATTTATTTTTTATTTTAAATCCTCATTTTTATTAATTAGTGGCGACTAGGAGATGCATCTCTCTCTCTTTCTCTCTCTCTCTCCTCCCGCAGGAGAAACCCGCAAACTCCCGCGATGCTTCGGGAATTCCTACCTGAGGAGACTGAGCGGCGGCTCTGGTGCGCAGGCGCAAAGGATAGGGTTGGGGGGGAGCGGGGGCAAAATTGTCAATAATCTGACATCTGGATTCGAATTTCTCTCGTCATATCGATCCGCTCTGTTGTGCGTCACCAGCTGAAGTTTGCGCCACTTAGTAGTTTTGATGTTGCGCAAAAAAGAGGGTTGATTGAAAACACGAGAGCGTTTAAATGGAGAAGAAATTTGGATTTGATTATTTCAGTATTTAAAATGGGTAACCTGACTTTTTTTTTTTTTTTTTTTTTTTTGCGCATCGTGAGTGAGCGCGACACCTGGCGGATCTAATGACCAAATCACACACCCGCGCGCCTACAATAAAGTAAAAATGAAAAATAAAAGCCAAACTGTCAAGAAGTTAATAATAATAATCATTTAAAAAGAGAAAAACAGAGACGAACAGAAAGCGGTGTCAGCAGCAGGGGCGTGCACAGGAATAAGCGGGGCTGCGCGTTCAGGAAGAAAAACCAGTAGTTATTTCACTTTTAGACGAAAAGTGTTTTTCTTCCTTTAGTTTGTGCAAAAAGTTCTCCGACACCCCCTTCCTCCTCCTCTCTCTCTCTCTCACACACACACACACACACACACACACACACAAACGCGGAGTCGTTTTTCATCTCGACTCCAGTGCACAAACATACAGCTTAATGCGGCCAGTGTTCCCGTCTTTTATTGGCCTCACCATGGCGACGGGGCGCGGGGCTCAGCAATGCGGCTCCCCGTCAGCCTCTGAGGCTCGGGAGCAGGAGGAGGAGGAAGAGGAAGAGGAGGAGGAACTCCGGAGGGGAGGAAGAACGGAACACTCAAAGTCCGGCAACTCTGACGGGAAACGGTTCTCGCTTTCAAATATATAGGCCTATTTATTTTTATTTATTTTTTTGCGGATAACTGCGTTGCTTTCTCTGGCCGGATGCATGTTGAAGATTAAAAAAAAAAAAAACTTGAAGCAAACTTTAAGGATCCAGGGTTCTGTCCTCTCGGGTTCTTTGGTCTCGCTGCTTCAAAATCTGATTGATTGCACTTTTCTCCGGCGGGACGTTCGCGACAAAACCCGGCGCAGCTCCTTCATCTGCTCCCCACTTCTTCGATTTAGCGCTAAAAAGAAAAGGGGTGGGAGTGCGCACTTACTGCCAGGCTGTTGTTATTATTATTATTAATAATAATAATAATGCAATTTTTAAAAAAAGCTAACAATTAGCAGGACTTCCTCCAGATTGGTGCCGCGTAAAAACAGACGCATATCGGAGGACGCGCAAGAAAGTGCGCTAAATCCGCCGAGGTGACGACGATGATGGCGACGACGACGATGATGATGATGGCGGTGGAGGTTCTTACCTTCCGAGCAGCGGGACGTGGCGTGGGTCCGTGGGTCCGCTCCCACGGAGCGTGGCCGCGGTTCCCTCCTTGTCCCGGTGCGACTCGCTGCTGCCCTCAGATTTTCTTCCCTGCGCCTCGACTGAGCAGGAGCGCCGCTCTGCTCCCGCTATTATTTTCACTAAAATATATGAAAATTTATGCAAATGAAAATCAGCACTAACTGTTCGTCTCTTGTTATACTTGGGGATGATTTTTTTTTTCCCTTCCTCCCTCCTCCTCCTCCTCTCCCCTCTTTCCCCGCTTTGCATACAGAATAAATGAACTTCCCCAGCAGGAAACTTTGGGACCTTTATATATATATATAAATATATGTGTGTGTAATAAGCAAATAAATAATAAATAACAACATGATATATCAGAGAGGAGTTTGCAGCTGGTTTCTGGGGAATAGTTCCTAGAATGGCTTTTGACTCGCCTTTTGTGGATGTTACATCCTTTTTTTTTTTTTACTCCTTGCAGGGATCTCTGGGAAATTTCATCCAGGAATCCTCACTGTATATTAATGCATAGAGGAGGGGCCCCCAAACGTTCCCGGTGCAGACACGTTATGTAAGGGAACAGCAGAGAGTCGTTGTTTTTAATCTGCTGGATTAAAGACAATATAATTTTTTCTTCTTCTTTTATTAAATTGTGCAAATGTTCAGTGGATTTAAAAAAATGTCACTTTTCATCTCGGGTCCTGAATCTGTATTTAGAGTGAATCTAAAAAGTAAATAAATCAAATAAAAACAAAGAGGGAGTTTTAAATCAGGACTTTTTAAATAAACATCTTCTGTGTGAACAAAAGGGGGAAAAGATTCAGAAAGGATGTTTGTTTCCTAGGCTTTTTTTTTTTTTTTCAGGCCCAGACAGGGGGAAGAAGAGCTTCAGTCGCAGCTTCAGTGGCCCTCTAACTATTAACAGAAAAGAGTCGGACTCGTTCTCCGTCGTCAACTTCACATAACTGTGTCAGTGTCAGGGGCCCTCGGCGTGAGGGGCCCCTGGAGGCTTCGGGACGGACGGAGCGGCGATGGGAGCAGATAGGATTAGAGAGGACGAAGAAAGGTTGGTGAGGAGTCCATCTGGTGCGCGAGGGACAGCGGTGACGTCTCGGGCCCTTAAACTTGTACTTGTATGGATTCATATTAATAAGTGATGACATCATCGCTGCTGAGGACAGAATCAGGAAACAAATGTAGCAGAAACGATGTAAATATTTCAATTTAGATAAGGTGTTGGGAAAATGAAGGGTGAGGAGATAGTGGAAATATATATATATAGTTTTAAAAAAGAGGTGGAGTACTGGGGGTGGCACAACACAGATGAGTAGGTTGCAGGTTCGATTCCCGGCCTGGCGACCTTTTCGTGTTCCCTCTTTACCCGCTTTCCTGTCCTTGAACTTTCAAAGAAAGCGTTTAAACAGGTCTGGGTTTTAAAGTTGATTTCCGGAGCAGAGAGAGAAAATAAATGAGTGTTTTTGTGTGTTTTTTAAAATATATTTTTAATGTTAAATAACCTTTAAAAAACACAACGCGCGCGCACAAAACACTTTCCCTGCGTTCTCGTCCCTGTTTGTCTCCGCACTGTTTACAACCGAGTTGTACTCCCCGTTTTTGTTTGGACCCGCAATTAAAAAGCAGCCAATCGGAACAGCCGGAAGGAGGTTCTCCGCGCGCGCCCCGGAGACCTGCCAATCACGCCCCGGGTAACCAATCAATGGGCACGCACGGGGTAAACACGGCGTCCTGAGGGCTGCGAGGGAGGAGGGCGGTGTGTGTGGAGGGGAGGGGGCCTGTCAGAGAGAGAGAGAGAGAGAGAGAGAGAGAGAGAGAGGGAGCAAGAAAGAGGAGGAGAGAGAGGCAGCGAATGAGAGGAGAGGCTCGCAGGCAGCGCCGCGCCACTGTTCCGACTGGATTGTACTTGAACGGGAGTTCGCGGTTTGGCAGGTTTATCCACATCAAAACAGAACAAAGAGACGGTGCTATAAAAGAAGAGAGGGAGAGAGCAGCGGAGAGAAGAAAAGCGACTTGAATTACAAAAGAAGTGAGGACGCTCTGCGCTTTTCCACATCCAAGGCTGGACGTAAAAAAAAAAAAAAAAAAAAAACTTGGAGAATTTCTGGAAGGAGGCTTTTTTTGTTTGTTTTTGTTTTGTTTTGTTTTTCTTTCTTCCTTTCTGAAAGTTTGCTCGGGACGCTTCCGATCTGAATTTTAATGTCCGCGATCCCGGTGCGAAACTTTCGCCCGCGGACTGCATGTGGTTTCAAAGGGCTTTCAGAGGAGTTGGGATATCTTTCCACGTCGTCCACGCTGAACACGCTCGGCTAGAATGTTGTAAATACACGCGGATTTGTTGCTGCCGCTCCTCTGCGTCTTTCAGCGCATCCAAAGAAGACGAAGAAGAAACTGCACAGACTTTTAAAAAGACTGAATAATTCATGAGATACAATTTGCCTGCTGGAAAGAAGTGACTGTAAAAAAAAAAAAGGAAAAGGGAGGGGAGTTATCCACAAATATATTCATAAGGGTTGACGGGATGGCCACCGCGGCTTCCAATCCTTATCTGCCCAGCAATAGCATCTTATCGTCCGGCTCCATCGTGCACTCTGACTCCGGGGGCGGCGGCATGCAGCCCGGCAGCGCCGCGGTCACCTCCGGGTCCGGAGGTTACAGGGGAGACCCCACGGTCAAGATGGTGCAAAGTGACTTTATGCAAGGCGCCATGGCAGCGAGCAACGGGGGGCACATGCTGAGCCATGCCCACCAGTGGGTAACGTCCCTGCCGCACGCTGCGGCGGCCGCGGCCGCAGCGGCGGTGGCCGCGGCCGAGGCCGGCTCGCCCTGGTCGTCCAGCCCGGTCGGGATGACCGGCAGCCCGCAGCAGCAGGACGTCAAGAGCTCCGCCAGAGACGATCTGCACACGGGCACCGCGCTGCATCACAGGCCGCCTCACTTAGCCCCGCACCACACGCACGCCGGGGCGTGGGGCAGCACCACGGCGGCGCACATCAACTCCATCTCCGGCGGACAGCAGCAGCAGCAGCAGTCGCTCATCTACTCGCAGCCGGGGGGCTTCACTGTGAACGGCATGCTGAGCCCCGGCAGCCAGAGCCTGGTTCACCCCGGCCTGGTGCGGGGGGACACCCCGGACCTGGAGCACGGCAGCCACCACCACCACCACCACCACCAGCACCCGCACCACCAGCACCACGCCGCCGTCAACAGCCACGACCCGCACTCGGACGACGACACGCCGACGTCGGACGACCTGGAGCAGTTCGCCAAGCAGTTCAAGCAGCGGCGGATCAAGCTGGGCTTCACGCAGGCGGACGTGGGCCTGGCGCTGGGCACGCTGTACGGGAACGTGTTCTCGCAGACCACCATCTGCAGGTTCGAGGCGCTGCAGCTCAGCTTCAAGAACATGTGCAAGCTGAAGCCGCTGCTGAACAAGTGGCTGGAGGAGGCCGACTCGTCCACGGGGAGCCCCACTAGCATCGACAAGATCGCGGCGCAGGGCCGCAAGCGCAAGAAGCGCACCTCCATCGAGGTGAGCGTCAAGGGGGCCCTGGAGAGCCACTTCCTCAAGTGCCCCAAGCCGTCGGCGCAGGAGATCAGCACGCTGGCGGACAACCTGCAGCTGGAGAAGGAGGTGGTCAGAGTGTGGTTCTGCAATAGGAGGCAGAAGGAAAAGCGGATGACGCCGCCAGGAGTGGCGCAGACGCCGGAGGATGTGTACTCTCAGGTCGGCAATGTGAGTGCAGAAACACCGCCCCCCTCCATGGACTGCAAACGAATGTTCAGTGAAACGTAGAGAATATTTTTTTTTAGATGAAATTAAACTGCTTAAAGAGACAGACTATCGCCATGATAGCACAAAAACCTTTTTTTTTGATACTGTGATTGTGAGAATGAGACTGCAGAAAAAAATGTGTTTATCTATTTTTCACCAGAAAAAAACAAAACAAAACAAAACATTTCCCCCTCTTTTTCCTCTTTTCCCCCCACCCCCCAAAAAACACACAAAAACAAACGCACCTTCTTCCAGGCCCTAAATGTCTTAACCTAAAAGGTTCCTTCTGCTTTTTTCTTTCAGGGGCATTTTTTAGTAGATTACTTAAAAGATGAAGCGAGCGACCAGAGGGTGACAACCACAAGTTCATTCCACCAGGTAATTTTGGCGCATTGAGAAGAGGAACTTCTCCTTAATCATTTTTCATGATTTTTTTTCCCCCTTCTCTCTCCCTCCTGAAAAGTAAACACACCCCTCCCAACCTGCATTCATCCCGTTCTTCTTTATCATGTTTATTCCAAAACAAAACAAAACAAAAAAAGAGACAGACAGATAGACAGAGAGAGAGAGAGAAACATTTTGTATATTTGAAAAGAAAACCGGGACTGAATCTCCAGAGAGATCCACAACGCTTCCAGCTTCTTAATATTTCTATTTTTTTCCTGGATTTAAAAAAAAAATGAAATTTTTGTGTTTGTTTTCTGCCAATTTTCCCCCTGTCCTCACTCCATCACTTCTTCGTCACCTTTTAAAGAGGAAAAGCAAAAGCAGGAACTGTCTGTGATCTCAAAGATCACCTCCATTGTCGTTATTTAACGGAGACACCGAGTGGATTTTTGTCTTTCTTTCTTCCTTCCTTTCCTCCGATTGAGAAGAAAAGGGGACGTTTTTGAGCTGCACTTATTTCAGATTTAACAACAACAAAAAAACAACAAAAAGAGATGTTGCCAAGTGTGACTGAGTGTGGATTATTGCTGCCCTTTGTAAGCAGGATTCTTTGGTAGGTTTTAATAAACGACAAAATATAAAAAAAAATTAAAAAAAACACACAATGTAAAGCTGGCAATATAGATCATCAGATCAGATTTTTTATTTTTAATTTTTTTTAAATATTTGATCCCAAACGGTAATTTATTCCTGTTTTGATGCTTTTATTTCTGGACCATGTTTTCCTCTAAAAGGAGCACAAATCACCACGAGCAGCCCGTTTGTTCTATCTAGGTAATAAGGGTATATTTTTGATGTGAATTTCTTCATCTTCTTCTCTTTTTTTTTTTTTTTTGGGTTTGTTTTTTTTCCCCTCCTTTGCTCTTATTTTTATTTCGACTGTATATTTAATTTGCAGTAGTGGTTCCGTACGAGCTGACTGAGACAATAAATTTGTTAGAATGAAACGCAACAACCCTGTGCTGCTTTATTATTATTATTAATATTATGATTATTATTGTGATGGTGTTTCGGTTTGTCATGGACAGTATTTCAAAGTGTGTTTAGAGCGCCCAAAATAAAAAATAAATCCCGTTTTTAACGCTACGAACGAGCCGAACTAACGCGCGTGCTCATTTGTTTTTAAGCTAGCTTTTGTTTTGCTTTTTTTTTTTTTTTTACGTAAACCTCGCGCGACTCGTGAACGTTGTGCTGTTTGGCTTGTTGGGTCAGAATCAGAGGCCGCAGAGGTCAGAGCGCGTGCTGATTGGTTCTACTCTCCCCCCCTCCCATAACTCCCCGTAGATTAATTTCTTATCTCTTTTCGCATCTTGGGGTCGCCTATTCAGCTAAACTCCCCCCAAACGTGTCCTCTCGCTGTTGGATTTGAATTTCGCGGATGCCCCCCCCCCCCTTCTCTCTCCCCCCTCTTCCTTCCTCCCTCGCGACCCCCTCCTCCTCGATAGTCGCTTAGCAACTGAATTCAACGATAAAGAAGCAGCTAGCATCATGTTTTTCTTTGTCCGTGTTGGAGAAAGTGGTGCTGGGGAAGTTTAGTTGGGTCGTGTTTACTTCTAGTGTGTTTCGGTGTAAAAGAGGAGCAGCTTAGGAAGTCACGGTGTGTGTGTGGGTTTGTGGGTGTGTGTGCGCGGTTCAGGTGTAAATATACGGCAGGTGCGCAGTGACCTGTCCCGTCATTTACTGCCGTGCTTCTCTCTGATCCCTGCGCTCCCTGCGCGCGGGGCAGCAAAGCACGCATGTGCGGGAAGGCCCCAGACAAACAGCGCGAGGATGTTTCAGCAACGTTTCCAAGCCGCCTGATGGGTTTGATTTCATGCAGCTTTCAGCTCACTTTCACGCATGAAGCGAGTAGAATCAAAAAACAACAAAATTCGCATTTATCAAAACGCACACATGTATATGTGATGAGAATTGATTAGAATTCGGATTTTGCTTTTATTCATTTTTTGTTTTCGGAAACGTCACAGCTTCACAATCAGGCGCTGCTTTATGTCAAAATTATTTTCTTATTTTTCTGGTAAAATAAAAAAAGTCGTATGTTTAGCATCAACATGATTATCATTATTATTTTTTTATTATTCGACGGGCTCGTTAAAAACAAAAGTCACAGTAAATGTATTTTTATAAGGCCACACTCACGCCGTCACTCATGTTTATGGAGAATAAAAGTGCTTGTTTTAGTCTGGCTTTCAAAAGATTCAAAAAGAAAAAAAAATAGAAACAAAAACATGTCGATATGCGTCATGTTTGCTCCACGTGTCACGGAATATTGAATATTTATCAGGCCGCAGGGAGCCTTTTCTGCCGCGCGACCAGACGGATTCAGGCTGGTGATGCTGCAGCCACAGTAAAAAAAAAAAAAAAAAAGAAAAGAAAGAAAGAAAGAAACCCGCTGCGTCGTCTTTCTCTATTCTTATTTCTCTGTACAGCTTTATTTTTACGCACCTTCCAAAATGTGTAACCACATCCAGCTTTCACTGTGTACATTTAATTATTAGATTTAATCTATTTAAATTATTTAATTTGACTAAATGTGTATTGTTTTTTATTTTATTAAACGAATCTAAATTGTCATTTGCATTTTGCCCGTTATTTATGCGATGGAAGACCACTATTGTTGTTGTTATTATCGCTTTATATTTTACGTCAGGCTAAGTCTGGGTCAGCCCAAAGGGCAGCAGATCTTATCAGGCCTCGCGCCGCTCGTCAGCTCTCTTTTGTGACAGAAAGAGGAAGACGAAGGAGCGACAGGGGGAGAAAAAAATATGACGCGACTCTGGGGGTTTCCTTCATAAATCGTGAAGGTCATGGTTTTGTGAGCAGCGCAGGTAAAAAATAAATAAATAAAAAATGGAGGGAGGTAGTGTGAATTGAGACAGGCGCGTTGGACGACTCCAAAACCTCCCTTTTACTGCCTTTATTTATTAGCTGAGGTTTTATTTTATGAGTCGGAGGGATTTTATTGGTTTGATTAACAAGTCGAGATTATCTGTTGGTGGGTGGAAAGTGTCGCTCCTGAACACAAAAAGTGGGTAAAATTTCTAAGCGGCAGATTCAAGCGTGCATAAATATATCCGTGAAATACTTTAATGAATCTATTGTATTTTTTTTTCGAGGTAATTTTATATACTACTGAAAATATTCTAGAAACATTCCTTAAATCCGCACATTCGTCGCCCAAGTTTTCGCTCAATGGGATTTTTGACGGTATTGTAAATAACAGAATTAATTTCAAGTGGAATTAAAAAAAAAATCTATATATTTTTTTGCAAAACAACTTTGAAAATTACAATTAAAATAAATAAATTTTAAAAAGTTTCGCAGCCACGTTTTTCGTCAAGGAGAGCGACAGAGCAACACTGTGTACTTTAAGAGAGACGTTCTTATTATTGTTCTTAATCACAGGCAATAAGATGAATTTATTAGATTCAAACTTTCCGATTGACTTCCCTGCTGAGCTCCAGTCGCACTAAAACGTTTCCCAGAATTAAACTTCTTTTTTTTTTACCCTCCTCCCTCATAATATAAATTCACACAACCAGAATTTGTTTTTAAAGAGAGAAATACGTTTTTGGAGTTTGTCTAAAACAATAAATCAATGCACTTAAAAAAAATTATAGAAAGATACATTTTTCACTATAAACCATTTCTTATAATCCAAACAAATAATAATAAAAATAACAACAGTAAAAATAAAAAAATCCTCTCTGTTTTGGGAAAATTCCGTTTTTTCTTGCTGTTGCTTTCTTGGCCTTGCAGCGCCACCCGGTGGACAGATGAAGTCACAATCCTTCCCGCTTCAGTCCTGAAAGCTGCCTGACAAACCCAGAGGAGTTTGTGGGAGTTTATGTTTTTTCTTTTTCCATCACTTAAAGGCAAAACAGGTGAGTTAACACGTTTTATTTCTGCAGGTAATTCATAATTATGGGGTTCAGATTCTTTAACAGAACATTAAAAAAAAAAAAAAACTATAAAATGTAATTTCTTTTTTTTGCCCTGCTTAACCGAAACTGTAACTGTAAAATATTTGGTGCTTTTAATAGTAAAAACTCTGTATTTGTAACAGTTTTATTTTACATTTATTATCACTTGTTTAGGTGCTGAAATGCTGATTTATTTCTAATGTCTGCATCATCACGTAATCATTTTTGACACTATGTCTATATTTTACTCCATAGTAAGGCTTTAAATGACTGTCTTGTTTAAAAACAGTAAAACTATTTGACTCATTAATATTTATTTCACTGTAAAACAGTGGACACCATCGCTTTTATAACAAAGACTATATTTACAGTCTGTTAAACTACTGTCAGAAGGTCTGATACTGAGTTTCATCAGCTTCTCAACGCACAAAGGTGTGAATACTTTTGTCACCCTCGAGGTTGAATTTGGATTTGACGTGACGATGTAAAAGGGGAACACAAAGATCAGAGTAAAGTGAAAAGCAGATGACGTTTGTAAAACGGTGCAGGATTCCTTCGGCCCAGTCACGACTTTCCGCCTCGTTTCCGCCACTAGAACCGAAACAATATTCACATTTTCCATCTGTGTTAAAAGTGTCGTCACAGATTCTCACATGGGTGTAGGTCTGGGCTTTGACTTGGCCGTCTTGACATGGTATTCTAAACCTGGAAACCCGTAACAAGTTTTCCTACGATTGGCTCAACTTCCTCGAGGAACGAGGAAGATGCGTTCCTCGTTCCTGCTGGGGGAGTAGAAAAAAAAAGACAATCTTTGCGGGATGCACCGTACTCACCTTTAAATGTGGGGATTTTGGTTCACTTTCTTTCAACAGAAAGGACTAAATCTTAAATAGCAGGGAGTTGGGTGGCGTTGGAAGTTGGTGCTACTTTGTGTCGATCGGTTGCACGATGCGACTGAAGAGGCAATAGTTGAAGTTTCAAACACAAAATTCATGTTCAGAAATACTT